GTCCAGTCAGAAAAGGTTACCAGCTAACAAGCCAGGCAAGAGTGTGAAAACAGCAGCATTTTGAAGAGCCTTTGCTTGAAGAACCTTTAAACTCTTTAACTGTATAATTTAATGAATGAATTGTCAAAAAGTGCTAATTTGAAAGTACCTAAAAACATATTTTTGGTCCTTTTTTGCTTTGTTTGGTTGCTTGTTTTTTTTAAATTAAACTGTCACAGTGAACTGCTAAATTTGAATTGACTGACACTGAAACAGGGGACAAACAAAGACTGGACACACCTGGTGTGCCTTTCATCTGTGCTCCTTAACATAAGAGTTGCCGGCTCCATACCAGGACAATAAAAGAAGTACTTCCCAAAACTGAACTTGGTAAAGGAGAATTTAAGACTGGGTACTATAGCCTTTTATATCAAAGGTAAATGTTGGCGCATGCTTCACCTAATGAGATAAACCAAGAGAGGGATGTGCATTACAAAGAACTGCTTAGAAAGAATAATTTGAAATTGTCACAAGTGACAGGTTCAAACTGTTTACAGCTCAGCAAATCAGAAAAGAAATTGTTCAAAACTTAGTTCTACTAGATAATCTATTTTTAAGGTCTCACTGGAATATGGTAACGATTACAATAAAAATGATCACCTGAAGTGTAAGGTGTTTTCCTTTTTATTTTTTTCAATAGGTAACTAAGGGTATACAATACAATACAATACAATTTTATTTATATAGCACATTTAAAAAACCACAGGTATGCCAAAGTGCTTCACAGAATGAGTTAAGAGCAATAACAAATACAAATATAAAGCACAAAATACAAATAAAATATACTAACAGGTGGGTGACATAACTAACCAATAATACACCAGGCATAGTAGTGCCTGGTGTATTATTGTGATGTTACTGGGTATACTCCAGTAACATCACACTCTGCCAGTATGAAATTTTATTTTGGACTAAATAAATGTTGTTGTTCCTTTAAAGCACATTACCTCAGTAAAAGCAAATGCTCTGGTGAAAAAAAATAGCAATGACTGCAGCTGCTTCCCAGCCTCAATGCTAGCTTGTTGTGGTTTTGTAACCAACTACTGCTGCAGTGGAACTGTTAGTTCTAAGTTCACTTCTATAATGAATCTTGAAAACTTGGA